ACTTGAGGAAATCATCTTTATGCATAATTCTTCTTTTTATACAGCAAATATTTGAACAGATTTTCAAAATGTTTTCTGTTGTTCCCATCATTATTATCTCTGCTCTTGGAAATTCTCATTAATTTATAACAAAGTTAGCTATTTATGTGGATGTTTTTCCCCCAGGCTTCCTTCTTGTTTTCAAATAAAGGTTTTGGCTGAATTTCCTTTCCATAACTATGACTGAAAAAGATAGACTAGATCAGGATTTTCTTTCATTGCTTTTAACCTGGCATGCTCTGATTGTTTCTATTTCTTCATTCTGTATGTTTTATATTCAATCAACCTAATTTTTTAATTTAGATTATTTCTCCAGGGACGTGTCTAGATTCTGAGATTTTTCAAAGCACCAGTTTTAGGGGTTTTTGTGATTCTTTGGATACTCTGTTGTGTCGTTTTGTTCTTTTTGAATAGAATGCTTAGTGAAATTGTTTTTACTAAAAAAAATCTGGCTTAGTTGTATCTAGAAATTTTGATATATTGTGCTTTCATTGTAACAACATCACATTTTTCTTAATTTTCACCTTTAAACAAATAGTCATTTAGTGCATGTTTTTCATTCCAGTTATGCAAGTATATATTAATATATAATAATGTATGGGAACTTGTAGTAATTTACAGTAATTCTATATTGTTATTGGTTTCTAATTTTATAACATGTTGATTCATAGGAGGTTACTGAAACTTCCTTGGTGGTGTATAACATAATCAATTTTTGTAAATGTTTCCATATGCTAAAAACAAAATTAAACAAAGAAACAGTAAGAATTATCTCTATGATTTGTTTTGTTCAAATATACTGTGCTTGTATAATCCAGTAAATTGTTGATTTATCTGTTTTTTATGCAGTTCATCCTGCTTTTGCTTAATATATTTAGAAGTTATATGGTTAAATACTTACATTTTCCTAATTATATATGGATTTTTTTTTTTTTTTTAAGAAAGAGTCTCACTCTGTCACCCAGGCTGAATGCAGTGGTGCCATCTTGGCTCACTGCAACCTCTGCCTCCTGGGTTCAAGCGATTCTCCAGCCTCAGCCACCCGAGTAGCTGGGACTACAGGCAAGGGCCACCATGCCTGGCTAAGTTTTGTATTTTTAGTAGGGATGGGGTTTCACCATATTGGCTAGGCTGGTCTCAAATACCAGACCTCAAGTGATCCACCTGCCTTGGCCTCCCAAAATGCTGAGATTAAAGGCGTGAGCCACTGTATATTGATTTTTTACCAGCATGCTACTCAAGTATTTGTGCCTCATAATTTTTTCTGCCATTAACTTTTTCTGATCAAAATTATTCTGGACTTTTTCAAGGTATATTTCTCACATATACATTTTTAAAATTTTTCTTTACCAAATTATTATTATTTTTTGCGTGGATTTCTTAGAAAGTGTCTAGTTGTCGACATAGTGTTGGGTCTTGATATTGGTTAACATCTAGTTTGAGAATCTCTTTTTTTCCTAAGCGAATTTAACCCTTTTATTCTATTTTTATTCTTTGATATTATTCTTAACTCATACATTTTTTTTCTCATCAATTTCTAATGCAAGTCTTCTCTTACCCTGGATTTTCCTTGCATAAGCCTCTTCCCCAGTAATTTCTTTTCCTCTAACTAGGAATTTTATATCATCTATGGTTTCAATTATAAGTCGTAAATGTGTACTTTGAGGGCATGGGATCACTGATAGTTTAGACAAGATAGTCTTTTCTAAGTTAGTTATTCATTGCTAATTTTGTTCTTCTCTTATTCACTTTCTCCTTTGTTTTAACAGTATCCCATTAACATTTGCTTATTATCTTTAATTGAATTATTATATTGGCATAAATATCATTTATATCATTATATTTCAGGTAGGCTTTGAAATTCTTGAAAGCAGAGACATTTTTGCTTCATTTGTTGTTATATCACCCAACATAATATGCGGAATATATTAGGTATTTGATAAATCTTTTTCAATTGATGCCTAAATGAAAGAATATTTTCCAGGCCACTTGGAACAGTCTTGACCATTGACATATACTTATTGAACTTTTACTGAATTTAAGGAAGTTGTACCATGACAAGCCATTAAAGTGTTTGCTTTTAAATTGTGTTTCCTTTTTGCCTGCTTCCCATGTCCTAATATTATTGAACATTTTCTTTTCTTCCTTTTTGCAGTCAGATTTCATTCAAAGGTGGACCCTGGGATTCTTACAGCTCTTGCTTTCCAGTAGCTTAAACATTTTTTGCCTACTTTCCAGTGGGTTCCACTGATTTACAATCTTTTATCTTGACATTTTAGCCACTATTTAAAGAGAAAGAAAAAAATAGATATAAATTTTTCTTAAAACATATATATATATACACACATATATGTAGATTCGTATGTATGAATATATATATACATGTGTATGCATATGTACACAGAAATGTAGGCATTTCTTAATATATATGTATGTATTATATATTATATGTGTGTGTGTATATATACATGTAATTGTCCTAAAAATGTTTTAAGAAAAAAATTTGACATTAGCATCTGCTGTGGGAGTTTAATAAACAAAGTCTCTATGGTGAACTAAATTAAAATTAATTCCTAATAAGAGCAGGAAGTGCTTAATGACTGAAATATTAAACAACCCTTTGAACAACCCACTCGTATTTCTTATAGAGGAATTAAGAAATAAAGGGGAAAAGAAAAGAGACTCTCTTTTCTTATGTTGAGAAATGTTCTGAGAAAGGCAGACACACGAGAGGTTTTACTATGTCAGCTTTTGTGCCCTGCAAAATAGCACCAGTAAGCTTTCCTTACTCAAAACAGAAGCCCAGTGATCTAACCAACCCTCAGGCACTGTACTTTTTCTCATCTTTCTTTAATAAGTAACATTCATGGAATAAAAGATTTCACTCACTGCTCCCACTTCCTCATCACTCACCTAAAAAAAAAAAACAAAACCTTTTTAGATTCCAGCTTTGACCATCATTATTCTAATCACATTTGTCTTTGTTAACAGTAACAATTGCTTTTTTCAAGCACCTTACAAAACTTTCTTTGCAGCATTTGATTTTGTTACACAGAACTCCTTCACAGTCCTTTCTCTTTTGAGGTTGAACAGTGTTGATTTTAATCTGCCATCCTTGCCTTTGTCTGGAATTTTTTCCAACAACTTCTAAATGTAGGCATTTTTTAAGGGTCTGTTCTTGTTCGTGTTTTGTTTTCCTCTCTACATTCTCCTCTTCAGCTATTTCATCTGATTCCTTGAACCACTCTGTATATGGCTTTTAACAGTTGATCTTCACTTTTCGCTCCCTCTTTGGCTTTAGACCTAAATTTCCCAGATCTCAAACATATTAAGATGGATTTTATCAATTGTTCCATTAACATTTGTTTCTCATCCCCTGTTCCCTTTCTTCGTCATTGCTTCTAAACTGATCCCACTTATCTAAGCTTTTTCGCTCGGACACACGGGAAGTCTCTGACTTCACGTCCGCTGTGAATCAACCTCTCCTGTTTCTACCTTCCACATAAGTGTGCTTTATCCTACTTTCTGTTCTTTTTGCTGCAAAATTATGAAAACTTCTTAAATAATCTTGGTTCATTTAACTAAAATAATCTTTAAGAGGTACAGCAAGGACCAAACAATTTTCTTGCCTCTTATATGTTGAACCATTTCTCAGACCTATTGATTAATATCCACGCCCCGCCCCTGGACTTAGTAATTTGGGTGCCACTTAGAGGGTCGTGCACATTTTTAAACACTATGCGCTAAATGTACTTAATTTTTCAACCAAGATATACAATCAGCCTGTCCTCAAATTGCCCTTCTTCAATTTCAAAATCAGCCCTGCCGCTTCTCCCCACATAGATTGATTGCTAAGTAGCTCCCCCAATTTTAATTTATTTTATTTCCTCTCATTTACGTGAATACTTTATCCATATGTGTGCTAATTATTTAAGAACTATTTATAAAAATAATCAATTTAAATTTTCTGAGGAGGAATTGTAAGAGAAATTCATATTTCCACTTCTTAAGTAAAACCAAGTGGGAGAGGGAGGGCGATAGTCACGTTGCCCCACAAAGTTGGTCCGCCATCTAGTGACAACTCCATCACACTACAAGCCTTGCCTTTGACACCTGGAGTCTGAGGATAGGCCTTCAAATTTTCCTCAAGGAATGTGTCAAACCGTCCTTTTCTTCCCCCTCGTATAACATACTGTCATAAGAGAAAATATTGCATATTGCTTAATTTTTATATGAGATTAAACACTGTAAACAATTAATTTAGGTCTGATTACATAGATCAGAGAAAGGGTAGGATGTGAAATGTTCACCTGTATTAACATTAATCAGTGAGGCGTATGGGTTCACTTTGAAAGAAGAAATTTAGAGGAATACCTGAAAGTTTAAATAAATCTGTGAGAAAGTGTGAGAAATTTTGTCTTCTGAGATAACATACATAACATACCCAGCAGAGTGACATTAAAATAAAAAACATTGGTTATCGGAAGCAGCATAAGTTTGGAGGCAGTTTGTCATTGTCACCTTTGTGAATTGGAGCCGAATATTCAAGCATTCAACATGACCATTTTCACATTTGAAAACATAGGGATAACAATATCTTTGTTGTCAGTATAAGAAAAATATATATAGACACTTGGTTGATAAGAGGCTCTTAATAAATGATAGTTTGTTTTTAATGATTGCCGTCCTTTTCACTTCTGATAATGTGTATGGTAACATGTATCTAAACTTCAAGCTTTAAAAATCTGTTATTTCTAGATCCTCAATTTGTTTCTTTCTCATAGTGTAGAGTGCATGTATTGGTAGGTATCATTATTTTCAGCACCTGGTGAAAGTTTATATGCCTATTCAGTAAGTATGTGACCAAAATGATTACAAAATAAATTAGGCATCTTAGGCATTCAAAGTTTGTATCTACTATACTGTAAAAGTATTTTAAAAAGTAAGTGGTTCATACTCACAGCTTTCCAGTTGCATTATACATGTTTGTACATCCATGGGAAAATTCTTGAGATCCATTGGACAGGAAAGTGTTAATGTTAATCTGAAAGTGAAAGTAATTATTTTTAAAGGAAATTTATGACATTACATTAATATTCTATTGTACAGGAGAAACAATGTTGCTTTGGTAATGACTAACTCAGATTTAAGTAAAAATTTCTCCAACTTATGTATCTTACTTACTAAAAAATAGCTATGCCCTTATACACAAATCTGGCTTTGGTGGACTGGGGGTTGGATAGCTGCATATCTTAGGTTGGTGCAAAAGTAATCGTGGGTTTTGCCATGAAAAGTGCTGGCAATACAGCAATTACCTTTGCACCAACCTAAATATAAACATTCTGTCATGTTTATATATCTATGCATTTATTTGTTCAGGTAGAAGGGCTGTGGATGTCTAGAAAATGTCTGTATTCCAAGACAACACCCTCAAAAGAGAAATTTGGGAGTGGATCCTATAAAATTAATGCCAAATGTCAAAAGGTATCTTTTCTTGCAAATCACGTGCAATATTCGAGAGGCATTGGAGTTCTAAAGGTGGAAAAGCAGCGTGGATAGGAGCAATCATATGTAACTTTCAGTTATCATTCTAACGACCCTGACGTTGTCAGTGAACATCCAGCAGTGTATTTAGTAAAGTGAATCTGGAGGACTTGAAAAGTTCAGCCTCACGTTCCCTAGTGTGGGATAAGGGAATCATTAGGTTCAGGAAATAGCCCTTTAGAATATTCATGATCTGATTCTATGCTCATCAAACAAACTTCTGACTTGGCTTCACACAAAGGATAACCTAGATGCTGTATACCAGTATTCTGCTCATTGGAAAGGCTCTCCTCCAACTTCCAGAGAGAATTAGTATGTTGATATTCCAGAAAATTCATCACCTTTGAATACGTTTTGCTGGAAAAGCATTCTACCCAGATCTCTTCAGGGTAGTTTTTGTAGTTCTTAGACCTGAGAAAGAGATGGTGGGATCCACTCAAGTTTATTCAAATGAAGTTCTTTTCTGAGAACTCTTCAGCAAGCCTCTTGTATTGAGAATATTCCCATTGAAATTCATTGTATTCATGAGCACCCTAGGTGGATTAGCTTATGTAAACTTCCTGACCCCAGGCAGATTACTTCAAATCCCCTATTTTGCAGTTTTCTCATCTTTAAAATGAAGATAACAATATTATGTACTCCAGAGAGTTGCTATGAGCAGTACATGAGTTAACACACATAAGTGCTTAGACATGTGCTTAAGTCATAGCAAACACTCAACAAACAGTGGTTATTAGCGATTATTAGTATATTCAACCACTCCTAGATCCCTTCATTTACTCATCCCCCAAATTCTATAGTGTGGGCACAAAGATGACTAAATTAAATTACATATTAAGAACTATTTAGCCAGGTGTGGTGTCTTACGCCTGTAATTCCAGAGCTTTGGGAGGCTAAGACAGGAGGTTCGCTTGAGCCCAGTAGTTTGAGATCATCCTGGGCAACATAAAAATACTCCATCTCTACAAATATATATATATTTTTTAAATTAGCCAGGTGTGGCATGTGCACCTGTAATCCTGGCTACTCAGGAAGCTGAGGCAAGAGTATGACTTGAGCCCAGGAGGTCGAGGCTGCAGTGAGCTAGGATCACACTGCTGAACTCTAGCCTGGGTGACAGAGCAAGACCTTGTCTCTTAACAAAAACAAAAAAGAAAGGAAGGCAGGCAGGAAGGAATGGAGGAAGGAAAAGGAAGGAAGGGAGGGAGGGAAGGAGGAAGGGAGGGAGGGAGAGAAAGAGAGAGAAAGAAAACGAAAGAAAGAAGAAAAAAGAAAGAAAGAAAGAAAGGAGGGAGGAAAGAAAGAAGAAGGAAGGAAGGAAAAAGAAAGAAGAAAGGAAGAAAAAAGAACTGTTTAAGCTTTAACAAAAAATAGCCCGCAGCTCTACTAAATACAACCACGTTCTTCAAGCTGACACTTTTATGTAGACCATAGACGTAAAGTTAGAATGATGTATATTCTACAGAGAGTATGCTTGGTGAGCTAGTTCCAATTAACATAATTTGGGACACATAAATGGACAGACAGTGAAGCTGCTGAATTTTTAAGAGTCTTAGGAGGATAATCTGCTAATTCATTCGAGTCAGAGTCCATAATACACTAGAATAATTCATAGAGTTCAATATTCAAAAGGGATTTTTCTCCTGGCTCAGCTAGGTTAAGTATGATTGTGTAAATTTACAAAGTTCTCTCTTAAAAAGGCAATTGTAAAATTAGGTAGACACAGTGTTCTTTGCCTTGCGAAAGGGCTTATTAGAAGTGTATGCACACATAAATTTTGAAGGTACACACATTAATTTTCCGTATATCCAAGGCTCTCAGACAGCCAGTTTCAAACGCTGACTTGCAAAATTAATTCTGTGACCTTTTGTTTGGAAGTAAATAGCATTCTCAGAATCTTTTCCACGCTCTCACCATGCATGTGATGTCAAATTCATATCCTGGCTATTCTTCTGGCATAAAAAAAGAGACATTACATAATTCTAAAAAAATAACACTTGAAAGGAATTATTTGGCAAAGAAAAACACAGCTTGTAGGACTTCTGTCATAAATCATATCCTGAAAAAAATCTATTCATCGACTTTTCTTTCTTTTTGTTTAAGGTACAACACAATTGCTCCTTTCACAGCATACTGAAAAACATGTGTCAACTTGGTGGGTATGATACTTTATCAAAACACTACGTATAAAGATATGTCTTGACCACATCAAAAGAAAACTAAATCAAGAGGCAATTAATCACATTCTACTGTTTTGGCAATGAATGTTTACTTGTGTAAGAGGGACACTAAGTTCTCTTTCTGAGACAAGATACATAACAGGATATGGCGTTTCTTCTTTTCCTTTAAGAAGTCTTGGGAAAGACTTTTAACATTAGTACTTTGTGAAACAGTAATGTTTAAAAAGCTGATAATAATCTGTGACAAACAATTGACCTCATTAAAATTCAATTATTGCACATTTTTGAACAAGCATTGTTTAATGTGTCTATCTCAACCACAAAACATTTTTGAATTAAAAAATGTTTGCTGACTCTATTATAGACTTTGTATATAAATGAGTATTTTTATTAGATCCTAATATTTCTCTATTTAGTGTCATAAAAACAAAGAACTCAATTAGCAATTTAATCAGTTTTAATCTATATTATCTGTAATATCATATTAGATAACACATCTATTAGACAATGTTTACTGTGCGGTAGACAGTATTTTAAGCACTTTATGTATGTTAACTCATTTACTCCACACTACAAATTTCCAAGAATAGGTAAATGATATTACCCTGTTTTAAAGATGAGGAAACTTAGAGGTTAAGTAACTCACCTGACATTTACACAGCAAAAATTGCTACAGCTGAATTTGCAGCCCTGGGGTTCTAGTTCTAGATTTCATGCTTTTAACCTTTAAGTATACTGCCTCTCAAAAGCATTGAAGCATTTTCATGAAAATGGGTTCTGTAATTAATATGACATCTTAAATTTTGTATTTCTTATAATACAAGAAATTATACATTGCATGCACATATCAGTTATTAAATTTAAACTAAAACATGTATAAAAATTTTTATAAAAACCTGCATAAATAGTTCTTCCAAAAGAAATCAGAGAAATGTAGTTAAACTATAGAAAATATAAGGATATCCCCAGCGATTTGACATATTTGAATGATTTGGTATATCATTATGAATGATTTTGTAAGCAGTAAATCATTCTTAGGAGAGATTAGATTGCTGGAGCACTAGAAGGGAGATTAGAATCAGCTTCTGTAACCTACTTCTGGAGTTTAATTGTCATCTGATCGTAGAGACCATCGTTAACTCAACAACCCATCACCAAAGCAATCACAGTATTGTTGATGGTTTCTTTATGAAGCTATGGACCACTTCAGAAAAACATACATAATTACATGTATGCCAAATTCTTCTGACGACATGTATTTTATAGCATTGTAAATTGATTTCCCTTGAATAAATAGCACTTAAAAAAGCAACTGTCAAAAAAAGTTTGCTTTCTTATTTAAAAATTAATGGCTCTCAATGTCAAAAAATACATTATTATCATACAAGTAAACTTCAGTTATTTTCACAAATTTCACAGTTACTCTATTTAGCTTAAATAAAAATTAAAATTATATCATGATCTTTGTCAAGTTGCTGTGCATAGCATCTTTAACGTAAATTTTCTTCCCATGATTTGATTTTTAATGCAAGAATGCCTCTGTACTATGAGTAGAAAATTTGGGTTTGTTAGTAACATTAGTAAAGTAAGAAAGTATATCATATTTAACTTCCTATGATGTGATTCCATTTTTCTGTGGTAAAGATATTACCATCTTCATTTTATAAGTGAAAAAATTGAGGCTGAGACATGTTAACTTAAGAGTCCATACTGTATTGGTTTATGGATTCTGGAAAAAAACAGAATGCATACTTTTCTTAAAAGGTAAAAATAACAACTTTAGTGCCCATTGTATGTCTGGCACTATGCTGGGTGCTTTATTTAATGTATTTTAATACATTATTTCAAGCTCAAGGTAATTAGTATTGCCACTGCCATGTATCTAAGAAGAAATGAGCCTTTTAGAAGTAAAGAGACTTAACCCAAATCACAGCTAGTCAATAGCAGACCCTCGATCTAGGCTGGGAGATATATTTCTCCTTGATCCTCTTGTGCTCCTATAACTCCTCTAGTTTGTATACCAAGACTACAAAGCTCTGATCATTCTTTTATCTGAGCCATTTTCCAGGGTTGTTTATGCGGCTGATAATTTTGAGAGATGAGAATATCTTTCACTTGGACAAAGAGAAGGCTTGCTTACAGCTTGCTATGAAAGTAGAGGGTTCCCAAAGTCAGTGGTAGAAAGTTAAATGTACATGGAGTATCATATCAGGGAAATCAACTCTTGTTTTTCCTTTATGAGAATTAATAGACAATTTCAAATATTTTAAAATCCAAGCATGATATTACAGCAACTTAACTATGTGAATGTGAGTGGTAG